GGATGGGGAGGACTGGGGTGGCTCTGTGGGCTTCTCGGGGTGGAAGCTCTCCTGAAGCCCCTTGATTGACCCCCCCCTCCGGATGGCAGCCTGTGGCAAGTGCAGCCGGTCTGATGGCCGAGTGCTGTGATGTGCCGAGTGTGGGCACTCAGGGCACTCCAAGCCAGGACTGCTTTGCAAGCGGGGAACCCCTGAGAACTGTCTGTCCGGGGTGGGGGTCAGGTCCCTTTAAGCACAGCCCTCGGCTAGCCTGAGACAGCAGCTCCATGCTCCAAGTCCTAATCTGATGCCCTGCCAGCACTGCTTCCGGCCATCCTTAACCTCAGTTCAGGGTCCACTCAGTGTGGACATGCTAGTTCGAATTAGCAAAGCGCTAATTCAAACTAGTTTTTAAGTCTAGATGAGCTAATTCGAATTAGCTTAGTTGAGCTTCCAGAGATCCCGTTGACTAATGCTAGAATTGGGGGTGCTGTGCACTTTGAAACATCAAAGACAAAATGAGGAGTACTTAATAAAAGCAAAATATGTAATGCTCTAAAGAGATTTCAGAATGAATAAAGGTAGGAAAAACTAGCTATGTAGTAAGCTGTGAAGTGGAAGAATTCACTGATTATTTCATAGGATTACATTAACAGCAGCTGAGAGAATTGTATGCAGTGGATCACTGAATGATATTCTGTATTTTAATGGGTACACCAAAATGTACCTATAGCATAAGAATTCTTTATTACTATAATATATATTTTAGGGCTGCCATGCAATTTAAAAATATTTGTGATTAATCATGTGACTAAACAAGTGATTAAATATTTGTGATTAATCATGTGACTAAAAAAGTGATTAATTGGCCAGAAACCAGCCAATGGGATTGTGCTAAGGGTGGGTGCAATGCCTCAAGCCTTCCCACCCTTCAGAGATCACAGTTTTGAAAGAGAAACAGCTCCACAGCTGCTTTTCTGAGTGGCGTACAGGGCAATGGGGAAAGCAGGGGAACCTGCCTGGGTCTCCCCACTGCGTCCGTGGGCCGGATCTGGTGCCTTGGTGCATCAAATCCTGCCTGTGGACTGTATTTTGCCCAGGCCTGCCCTATATGTTGCAATAATACAAATAGTAAATAATATAAATTAATCCATTGCAGTACCCTCAAAATTGTGACTAAGTGCATTATTTAACTTGACTCATTTCTACAGGCTGCTTTAGAGAAAGAATGGCTAGCTTTGGATTCCACCCGCTTCCCTTCAAAAACACTGCTGCTCACAAACCAGCTGCATTGGCCAAAGGTAACATGTCATGGAAACTTCTTAGTCTTCAGTCTTTGTTCATTCCTTGAGGATATGCTACACGGGGTTGATTAATTCTTCAATTTATTGACTTGAAAAACACAATTACTTTTAGAAGCCTCTCACTTCCTCCTCATCCCCAGATGTAATTTTTCATGTAGCTTTTCTTTCATTTGCTTAAATTTTTCTTTATTTTGGATTTCTTTCAACACTTTACTTCACAGTAGCTCAAGAAAAAAAAAAGATGATGTGCTTCATCTGCACATTTGGCAATGGATTAAAAATTGCTCGTTGACATAGTACTTTAAAAATACTAAACTCTGCATTATATAGCAACAGCTGAGGACTTTCAGAACAGCTAAAGGTCATTGAACTGCAATGTCTGTTAGTTATTTGATAAACTTTGAAGTTTCAGTTTTTGTGGGGAGGGGTTGTTTTTGTTTTAGGTTTTTTCCATTTTTCTTCATGCTATCTGCAAAATATTCTTTAAAATATTTTTTCCTGGGCAATCATAAATATACTGTGAGTTAAACTTTTTTTTTGTTTTTTTTTTGTATAATTAAACTTACTATCTTTTTGCAATATTCCATAAAACATTTAGTTAATTGAAGATATGGTTTATGATGGCCTGTCATGTTTTGATGATATCTCTGAAATAAAAACAAAGGGCATGACTCTGCAAACATACTTATGTATAACTGCATATGAATAGCCTCATTAAAATCAATCAAGCTATTTGTGTGCATAAAGTCAAGCCTATGAGTAAGCATTTGTAGGGTCAGGACCATATTATTCACTGACTCTTTTTTACTCTTTTTATTTTAATATTCTCTTATGTACAAGAATTCTAGGCCTTTAAGTTCAGATCATGGTTTGTTCAATTTACCATGGCCTCCACATGAAGCCTGGCAGTGTGATGAGAAACTTCATTTATTCTCACCAGAAAACACCCAGCTTAATTCCAGGTAATTAAAAAATAATTTTTTATTACTACCTGTATCTTCTCCGGCAGGTACCAGAATGGACACTGGAAAAGTAATTAGTACTCCTCTTTGTAGTGCTTTTTACAGCTGTTTGATTGGAACTCAGATAATTACTAATTTTTAAGCAAATGCACCTGTTAAAACTGAACAAAACAAATATAATCTCTTAGGCCTGCAGTAATATAATGTTCATTTATTTAAAATATCAAAGATATAAGAATATAAGGCTTTAAATAACTAAATCATAAAATACTAACAAAATATCTTATAACATGTGTGCCTTAACATAGAGTTGCCAGCTTTCTAAAGGCATAAAATCAAACACCTGTGTCCCACTCTCTGCTCTGGGCTTTCCTGAGGCTCAGCCTCCTCATCCCATCCCCCTCCCTCACTTTCACCAGACTGGGCCATGGGGTTGGGATGCAGGAGGGGGCTCAGGGCTCATGCAGGAATTTGGGATGCAATGGGATGGGGGAGAATGAGACCTCTGGATGAGTATGAGGGTTTTCATTGAATCATAGAAATGGAAGGGTACCTCAAGAGGTCATAGTCCCCTGCACTCATGGCAATTCTAAGTATTATCTAGACTATTCATAACAGGTGTTTGTCTAACCTTCTCTTAAAAATCTCCAATGTTATAGATTCCACAACCTCTCTAGGATAATTTATTCTAGTGCTTAACTGACTGACAGTTAGAAAGTCTTTCCTGATGTCCAATCTAAACCTCCCTTGATACAACTTAAGCCTGCTGGTTCTTAGCAGTTAAGAATAATTTTTTCTCTCCTACTTGTAATAATCCTTTATGTACATGAAAACAATGACCATGTCCTCTCTGCCTTCTCTTTTCCAGACTAAACAAACCCAATTTTTTCAGTCTTGCCTCATATGTCATGTTTTTCATACCTTTAATCATTTTGTTGCTCTTCTCTGAACTATTTCCAGTTTGTCCACATTTTATGTGGTGCCAGAAACTGGACACAATTCTCTAATAGAGGTCTAATCAGCACAGAGTGGAGTGGAAGAATAAGTTGTCTCTTTCTTATGACACTCCTGCTAATGTATCCCAGAATTATGTTCACTTTTTTTGCAACATTGTCACTCTGTTGACTCAAATTTAGCTTGTGGTCCGCTATGACCCCCTGATTTCTTTTTGCAGTACTCCTTCGTTGGCCACTGTTTCCTATTTTGGATGTGTGCAACTGATTGTTCCCTCCAGATGGAGTACTTTGCATTTGTCTTTACTGAATTAAATCCTATGTACTTCATACCATTTCTCCAGTTTGTCCAGATCATTTTGAATTTTAATTATTTTCTCCAAAACACTTGCAACCTTTCCCAGCTTAGTATCATCTTCAAACTTTATAAGTATACTCGGGACATGCAGAGGGGTGTGGGCCAGTGTTCCTTCTAAATTGCAAGGCAGCACAGCTTCACAGGTGATTAATCAGCCCGCCCCATCAGTCAGCTGAGCCTCTGACCGGGTGGGGCTGATTAATCACCTGTGAAGCTGTGCTTCCACACAGTTTAGAGGGACTGTTGGTGTGGGTTCTGGGGTAGGGCCAAGAATTAGGAGTTTGTGGTTAGAAGTGCCTCCAGGCTGGGACAAGGATTCAGAGTGCAGAAGACAAAGGGGCAGGGTGGGAAAGGACTCAGGATTGGGAGAGAGGGTTGTTGGGGCGCAGAAGAGGATGCAGGATATAGGCAGTGCTTGCCTAAGGCAATGCCTGGGAAACAGCCAGCAGGTCCCTGTGGCTGCTAGGCAGAGAGTCAAGGAGGCTCTGTGCACTGTCCACACCCTCAGGAACCAGTCCTACCTCTCTCATTATTGGCAGTTCCCAGCCTGTGGAAGGCATGGAACTGGTTCTTGGGATGGGGCAGCACACGGAGCTTTCCTGGCCCCAGTTTGCAGAGACTTTCTGGCCATTTCCCAGAAGCCAACTGGAGTCAGGACAGGTAGGGAGCCTACTTTAGCCCCTCTGCACTGCTGACTGGATTTTTAACAGTCCAGTAGGCAGTGCTAACCAGAGCCATTAGGATCCCTTTTCAACTAGGCATTCCAGTTGAAAACCGGACACCCTAATATTCAGGGCTCTACAAATGCACTCGCCCGCTCACCCGTGGCGAGTAGATTTTATCAGTTGCCGAGTGCAGGGGCAGACTAGCCTGGTGGGAGGTTGTGATAGGCTGGCCAAAGCCCACACTATGGGCAGCGTGGCCCCATCCGATCCGCCAGCCGGGCGGAGGAGCAGAGCGCCGCCAGGAAGGGGAAAGCGCAGTGATTCTCAGCACTCAGAGTGGGGCTACTGAAGGAGTGGACAGAGGGGAGAGAGAAGGGCTGGGGGAGTGTGCAGCTCCGGCACGAGGAGGCGGGACTCCAGCAGGCAGGAGTCAGGACAGCAGAGGAGGGTGAGGGGTTGGCAGGGAACAGGCACCAGGGGATGTGATGGAACAAGGGGAGAAGACATGACAACACAGCCAGGCCCCACCCTGCCAGCTCCAGTCCTGTCATGGCCTCAACACCCTCACTGGTTTATAAGAGATTTATTAATAATGTGGGTGATATTTATTAATAACTTATTAGTAATTACTGTTCTTATTCTTATTAGGAATTTATGCTATTAAAAAAACACTTTTTTTGGGGGGGGGAAGGGTGGCGAGTCCCTTTTTTGTCTGGCGAGTAGGGTTTTCCAGAATTTGTCGAGCCCTGCTAATATTGATACCTAACAACAGATAAGGTTTAAAAATATTTCTCACAGTACTACATTCCTTTTGCAGAAAAGGAATGAAATACACTTAATGTAACTGAAATGTAAACATTCAAAGTTGATAGCAAATTTTTATTAATCTCAAAGATAAAGCCTTTCTGGAGTATTAAATCAGTTTATTCATTTATTTATTTGTGTATTTTGGTTCTGAGTTTCAGAAGGCACAAATAGTTTGCATAGTTATAAAGGCCACAAAGCCATACTTTTACTACTGCTCCAGTTTTAATACTACTCTGCTATTATTTTGTTAGGCCAGAGAAGAGAGCTATATCACATCTCTCTGACTTGCAAACTAAAAAGAATTCATCTTTCAAATTGAAAAAAGAAGAGAAAATTTCCGAAGAATGGTATGTCCAGTCTATCCTACTTTCTTACTTGTAATGTGAGTACTATAGATGTAAATGTAGAGATTTTTAATAGGCACTCTGGTTAACTTGTTAATTATTTCTAAATGCCAAAATATTATTTTAATCTTGTAACCAACTACAGTTTCTTAACGGTTTAAGATGAGTAATGCAAGCATCTTTGTAGTGCAGCCTGCTGAGTATCATACATGAAATGTATTATACTCTTGCTGTATTCAAGGTATGATTGTAAAATCCTATTTAATTGGTTACCTGGTTAAAGGTTAAGTTTAATTGATTAAATGATTAAACGAGGAGAGTGGCGGATGAAGTGCCACAGATGGGAGCTGCTCCAGCTGCGCTGAAGCATGCCTGCCCATGACAGGCACAGGGCTGCTCCAGCCCTAACTAGTTAAGCATAACCGGTAAACCATTAACATAGAGAGGATTTTGGAGTTGATATGTGAAAATGTGTATATATTGACAGCAAAATATCACTTTCCTTAGGGGTTTTAAAGATATTGCCACTGCACAGCTAATGCTGAAGAGGGCTCATAAAATGAAATCCAAGAAACCTAGTAGTAAACATTTAGGTAAGTCAACATTCCCATCACAATATGTGTCATATAAGAATATGTATAAAATGTAGGAAACAGCAGGTCTTTACTTCATCTGAAAGCAGATTGTTTCTAGAAATGTTGCTTGTATTCTCTTAGCTCAGATGTTCATGTGCATGAAAGAGGAAAGTTCTTTAGAAATTAATATATTACTATAAAAATAAGTTAATTTTGTTTATAAGTTAAATATATTAGTATTTGAAAAGGTACACTGGTGAATATTGAGATGACTATTTGACAAATATATGAAATGGGAACTTTATTTCATTCTGTTCTATGTATTCCCTTTACTAGATATAAAGTTTGTATTTTTGTGTTACTTTTCCTTCAAGAGAATATCTCAAATTATAATACTTTTCTCAGCTAAGGTAGTTTTATTACTGTTTGATATGCTTAAATCTGTCCTGAAAGCATTTCTGTATTATATCATGCCTATCACCTCCTGCTCTTGATTATATCAAGTGCTGTTTATATATATTTGTGAAAGTTTCCCAGGTTTTGCTGTGTCTGGATTTGGTCATAATTTGGCATTCAAGGTAGGAATGTAAAATCCCATTTAATTGGTTAACTGGTTACAGGTTAAGTTTAACCGGTTAAATGATTAAATGGGGAGAGTGGTGGATGAAGCGACTCCCCCAACCCACCAGGGATGGGAGCTGCTCTGTCCGGGCTGAAACATGCCTGCCCATGATAGGCAGAGGGCTGCTCCAGTCCTAACTAGTTAAGCATAACTGGTAAACCAGTTAACCATTAACATCCCTAATTCAAGCTTCAGAGATGATTCTGTAAATCCTGGAAAGTGCTCAGATGCTCTGCTCTCTTTTCTGATTGATGCTAAAATTATTCCTTCCTTCTTATGTTAGTAAATTTTTTGAGTTTATAGCTGTTAATACAGGAAAAAAGAAAATATCTTAGTTGCGTATTGATGGATGCCTTTAAATTCATTAGTCATGGTAAGCTGTCTTGAGAAATCCTTCCTAATAACATTTAACTCTTTGGTGATATATTTGGATCTCTCAGCGCTGGCTATAATGCATTTTCCATTATTGCATATCATGGGGAATCTCTGTTTTGTGTCAAGTGGTGTTTTTTTAAGTTCAAGAACATTTTGCACTCAAGAGGGGAAAACACAACTTACAGATAAAAAGATAAGCTTAAGAAAAGTTTGCAATTCTCCCTTTCCTCAGCTAAGTCCTAGCACCTAAGACTACTTATGACAGATCTCTAGCTTTAAACAAAAGGTATCATCTAATTAATATTTTCCATATGGACAAAAGGCTAAAACATTATTTCATCCTTTATTTAGTCTTTAGAGTTGCCCACCCTGCACCACCCAGATATCCAGCAAGAAAACCATAACTATCTGGTGGTCAGCGGAGTGTCTGACATATGTATAATTTGGTTGCCTATGTATAATTTTAATGAATAAACCTATTTAGTTATATCATCTTTTCTCCATATGTTGTCTGGTTTATATTAGTAGTGATTAATTAATTCAGTCATAAATGGTTTGAGAGTATCAAATTCAGTTATCCTCTTTTTGTTGTTCTATTGGATTTTTTTTTTTTTTGTATTTTTATATTCATTTTGTTCAGATGATGGGAGAGGTTTTTGTTTTGTTTGTTTCTAGAATGTGTTGCACTGCAAAACTTTCATAGTACATGACCAGTGTTTAAAAAGTTAACAAAACTTTACAATTTGAGTTGTTAGATCTGTATTGACCTGATCTGTTTTATACATGCATAGCATCACTTTCTATGACTACCCAGTAAGGAATCCCCTTTCCACATATTCTATCCAGGCAAAGGAAAGCAGCAATTTTCAGTATCAGTACCCCCTCACACAAAATGTTCCGCATTCCACCGCATTTCAGTATTGGGACTGTTAGGTCAAGTACTTCCCTTCTTCTGAACTGCTTTGGTACAACATGGTGAAAGAGGCAGACTTGAATATAGTCAGATTTAAGTTGAGCTTAATTTAAAACCAACATGTTCAGTTGTACCCTGATCTGAATTGGACACCAGTGAAGATACTGAAGCACAGCAGTCAATCCCTCTTGGACAGTAGCAGCATTAACTATGTAAACAAACAGCTACATTCAGAACTTTCTAGGCTGGATTTTGTAGTCTGCCAAATTTCCTTTGTGTTTCTTATGCAAAGTGGCCTTATACTGGTCAGAAAATCCCAATAGAAATTCACGCTGTGTAGAGAGGGAATCTCCACAAAGCATAGCTGTCTCCTCCATCCCTACCAGCATGCGAGATACTGATACTGAAAATCACTGCTATCCTTTGCCTGGATGGAATATGTGGGGAGAAGGGAGCACAAAGGAGCATATCAGGGATCAGCTGTGCTTACAGCGAAAATGAGAACGTTTACCAGAATCTTAAAAGCAGGAGTCCTGTTCTAACTTGTTCTGAGTCTAGGCAACCCTAAATGAGAGAGCTGCAACAAGCTATGTATGGCTGCTACTCTCTCCTTACCCAGGGATGAGTGCTTTTCAGACACAGCCCCATGTAGAGTACATTGCAGTAACTTCAGTCTTGAAGTAACAAAGATACTTGGCAATGTTAGCATCCTTTTTAAGAATGAGAGAGTTTACAGTCTTTTAGCCAGACATTTAAAACAAAACAAAACAAACGAAAAACTAACAAGCACTGCCTGTGGCCACTTACTTTAACCTCTACTGTAGCTGGATATCCCCAGGACATGTTCCTCTTATAACCTGTCTAAACAATAAGCAATTGTCAACGCCATCATTTCCACTTGTGTCCCTAGCAACCAGCATGACATCCTTTCCATCTTCTCTGGATTAATCCTTATTGTCATTCGTACCTCGATATTACTCTGGATACATTTTGATTTTTTTTTTCCTTTTCTTAATCTTTTCTTAATCTCCAGATTCAGTAGCTGGTTTATGGCCCTATTTCTTCTGAGCATAGCTTTGACTAACTGCACTCAAAAATTTATTACTGAGTTGGTATTGCTTTTAGACATTCCCACCAAACTGAGGATGAAGTTTGAAATATGCATCTACAATATTAATTGTATGCTATAAAGAAGCAGGTTTCCAGAACATCTAATATATCCATCCATTGCTGTGTAAATTATTTACAAATAAAAATATGATAAAATTAAGTTGTCGGCTGACCCATACGATCAGCAACCACCAGGAGCTCTAAATACAAAGAAGTTACAGAATATTAGCAAATGTGAATCCTTTTGTGATAAATTTCAATGTCAGCCCACTAGCCAAACATCTTTCATGAGAAATCTTGTTATGCTATGGTGGGGATCTTGCTAAATTGAAGATATTGTATTTAAATAAGTCACTGCCACTGTAATTTATATTGGAAACTCTGGTCTGTGTGCCAGTGGGATGCCTATTTGCAAATGTCACCAACTTCCTCTGTTATAGGACTCATTAGCTGACATTGACATACTCCCAAAATGTAAAGCCAGCATACAGTTTCTCTTCTTATTGGCTACACATTTACCACAGCGGACCTTGGATGGGACTAGCATTGTAATGAACATCCTAGGCTCCTGATGCTCTCTAATGAGAGGACTTGCTCCTTTCTTTTCTCCACTAGAAGTATATATCTGCTCCTTGTGGAGCTGTGATGAGTAGTGCAGTATGAGGGCTTCCCAGCCTGTAAGGCCAGGACTGGCTTGGGTACCGGACACCAGAGATATGTGTATGCTTCAGTATGAGCCCAAGTACAGACTCAGGCTTGAACTCAAACTCCTCACACAAATCCCTTAAAATCGGTTTCGACCAAGAATCCTAGGACATTGTGTTGGGTGGCTTGTGTAAGCCCATGGCAAGCTTTGATCCAGGGTTTTCGCCCTGTTGCTTTGCTGCAGTGTTTCCCAAATGGTATTCTTTGGAACTCCGGGGTTCCACAAAGTGAAAATAAGGGTTCCATGAGAAAATTCCATTACAATAATATTTTATGCATATTAGTTTTTTAGCTTTATTTTTTGTACACACTAAATGTGATTGTTTTTAAATATGTGCAATTAAACTAAATGTTGATCTCATGACCTTGTTTAGCATTTCTTTATTATTATCCTTACTTATTTGTGGTCTACTTTTTCAGCTTCATATATGACTGTTATTAGGGGTTCTACAAAATTCTTTCGAGTTTAAAAGGATTCCATGGCCAAATAAAATTGGGAAACACTGCTTTACAGTGTGGACAACAGTCTCTCAACTCAGATCCATGGAATCCTCAAGTAGTATCCCCCAATGACTCATTTGAAAACAGGCAGCATCCCATTCACAGACAGCAGGAACTCAGTGAATCGGCATTAGCCCTTCCATTGTCTTCTAACCACTGAGCTACAAACGTACCAGCAGAGAACCTTCTGTGTTTGTAAAGGACATTGACCAGAACAAGCCCTTTGCAAGCTTTACTGCTTCACAATCACAGGAACATAACCAGATTTTGGTGAAACTCTGATGCAAACCCAGCAAAAACTGTGGACTTAAAGCAAAAGTATCCGGAATGACCATGCATACCAACAGACAGTGAAAAAGCTGGGAGCTTTATACATTTAATAAACGGGTGACCAGTGCATTCAGTGGATTAAGTAGCTCAAAAGTGAGACCCAGAAGACCAGAGACCACAACTGCACCTGAGGTAACTCACCAACTTTGTGCAAATTTTATGAAGATTTTGGAAGCTAGGTAATGAGCCTAGCACCGAGGCATATGTGGTGCATGATGACCTTGTCAGCCAGGATTGTATCCTGTTAGTCCCAGAATCCAGCATGAGAACTAATGGGTGTTGGCAGCAGGCACCGAGTGAAGACCATGAAGTCACTTTGTTGCTGAAATCAGTCCAAGATCATGCTTTGGAACACGATCATCAACAAATGTTGGGTCTATACTTATAGAAGTTCTTTAAATCACTCCCAAAATAATAGTCTGCTATGAGACCTGTAGCAGACACACAAGGGACAGAAGTGGT